CACCACCACCATCATCATCATCATCATCATCATCATCATCATAATCCCCTTCCTCCTCCTCCTCCTCCTCCTCCTCCTCCTCCTCATCATCATCATCATCATCATCATCATCATCATCGTCATCGTCATCGTCGTCATCATCATCATCACCATCGCCAGCATCATTCATCATCATCACCACCATCATTATCATCATCATTATCATCAGCATCACCAGCAACATATTCAGCATGATCGGAATCATCAGCAGCATGTCATCATCATCATCAGCAGCAGCATCAGCATCAGCAGCAGCATCATCATCATCATCATCATCATCATCATCATCATCATCATCATCATCGTCATCGTCATCGTCATCGTCATCATCATCCACATGATGATCCTCATCCTCATCCTTATCCACATCCCCATCCCATCCCATCCCCTCCCCTTCCATCCCATCCCATCCCATCCCATCTTCTCCCATCCCCTACCATCACCTCCAATCCCCTCCCATCCGCTTCCATCCCCCCCAATCCCCTCCAATCCCCCCTGATCCACTCCAATCCCCTCCCATCCCCTCCCCTTCCATTCCCTCCCATCCCCTCCCATACCCTCCCATTCCCTCCCATCCTCGCCTCCCATCCCCTCCCGTTGGCCCTGGCCCCGGCTCACGGCCCGGGCCCGGCCCTGGCCCCGGCTCCGGTTCCGGCCCTGGCCCCGGCTCCCGATCCCGGTTTTGGCCCCGGCCCACGTTCTGGCTTCGGTTCCGGTCCCACTCCCGATCCTGGCCCCCAAGGATATCATCTACGCTCCGTGGCCTCCCAGATGCCCAAGATGCCGAACCGAGCTTCAAAACAGCGAACGAAGCCTGGAAGTCGCCACAGGAGGGCTCCAAGACTCCCCGAACGGTCCTGATAGGCAACCCGCGTCGTCATCAACATCGTCAACATCGCCATTGTCTTCCTCCTTCTCCTCCTCATGATCGCCGCGCTCTACTCGCCCCTGCCCTTCCTTCGTGCCCCCCACCCCCCTCCACCTGTCCATGCGACCTTGCTCGCCTCACTCTCCTCCTACTCATTCCCCCCTGTGCTCCCACTCCTCCTCATCCTCCTCTTCCTCTTCCTCCTGTCCCCCTCCTCATCTTCCTCCCCATGCTCCGCGCCCTCCTCCCCAACCTCAGGGTCGGCGGCACCGGCCGAACGGCCTTCGCAATCAATTTTGGGATAAATATATTATGTAGTCGATCCCCTGCTCGAACGAGGAGCGATAATGGGGAGACTGGCTCAGGAGAAGAAACATCGACTTGGAATCGGCGATCCATCGCAGATAGTACGGCAACATCGGTGGCGCGAAGGGGGCAAGCAAGAGGGGGCAGGCCTTCTCGACGGCGACGGGCCTCCTCGGAGGCCTTCCAGCCTTCTTTGATAAAGCCCCCTGTGGCTCGGAGAAGGCCCAGGAAGCCCCTCAGAGGGCAGGAGGCCCCCTGGGCCTTCCGAGAAGACCCGACAGCACGTCCCCGATACTGAGTCCACACGTTCCTATAGGCGGGGTGGGCTGGGCCAGCAGAGCCCCGTCGGCGGTGAGTGGGCGACGGGGGGCCGAGGCATCCCCGCCTGAGCACTATCCCCCCTTAACGTAGCCCTCGAGTGCTGCCGCTCCTGCCTCGGGGGGTACAAGGAAGAGGATAAGGAGAGGGAGGAGGAGGAGGAGGAGGAGGAGGAGAAGGAGGAGGAGGAGGAGGCAGGAGGAGGAGGAGGCAGGAGGAAACTCCTGGCGGAAGCTCCGAGGGGCCCGGCCTTCTCATCCACGCCTCGCAGCGCCTGCGGCTCTGGAAAGAGGTCGTGCAGCACCGCCTCGTCCAAGGCCAAGGCGGCCATCTGGGCGAAGGCCCCCAGACCTCGCCGCCTACCTCATCGTGTGAACGGCCCCCGCTAGCCGAATGTGCTGCGGGGCGCGGGGCGCATCGGAAGCAGAGGACAAATCGGAGGACATGAGCGAAAGCATCACGAGAAACGCCCGTCCCGGAGCACAAACCCGACGACACGATACATCCCGCCACGACGCGGCGCGGCAGACGGTGCGACGATGCTCGGCGCGTTGTGGCGAGAGGCGGCGCGAGGTACCGCACCAGGAAACAAACGACACCACCCAACCCACGGCCCCACGATGCTTAGCGTGTACCAGAGATTTCGGCGTGGGCTTTTGCGTGGTATATACGCTACCGCCCCCGATGAGCCGTAACGCACCATGGAGGGCTGCAGGTGGGGTGGTGTCGTTTGTTTTTGGTCGAATTACGGCATGGCGTGGCACGACGCGACACGGCTCAGCCCGACGGGGCAGCCCCGGCGAATCCCCGTGCCCCCGGAGCACACGGGCAGAGCCCGAGCGGCCCCGGGGGGCCTTCGCGCGAACGCGGGCGGAGGAGCCCGACGCCTGGCAGGGGCCACGAGAGAAGCACGACGGCGCGAAAAAACTTCAGCATTTTCTTGGGGTGGAGGGCTCAGGGTGGAATCCATATGGGCTTCAACACCTCGAAAATCAATACGTCTTGTGAGTCACCTTTTGCAGATTCAAGGTCCGGGGAGTAGCAGTATCGGTACTTGTAAGTTCCCTCAACTCAGGCTCCCCAATCCTCGCCCTTCTCCAACGAATGATAGCGTGCAAGTGGTTTTCGACTTGCGTGATGTTTGTACATGCATGTCGTTAGCGGCTTGCTTCAGGATCAGCCCCCCCTGTTCAAGTAAGTAACCTTGCCGGAGCCTGAAACAAAAACAGGCTCAAGGGCCAAGCAACGGTCGCCATGGGGGAAGCGGGTCCTGAGGGAAAGGGATCCTGATCTTGTTCGCCGCTTTTCCGGGCTCTCGGAGCCCTCCGCGGGCCCCGGGACGGACAGAAAACGGCTCAGGAGGGAGATATCGTCCTGGGGGGGGGAGAGGGAGGAGGAGGAGGAGGAGGAGGAGGAGGAGGAGGAGGAGGAGGAGGAGGAGGAGGAGGAGGAGGAGGGCCCCAGAGCCAGCCTGCGTCCAGGCACCAGCACGAGCGAGGGGGGCACAGAACAGGTGGGTCGAGCAGCGGCGAGGCGTGATCCATCGAGACGGCATGTCAGATGTCACCCTCTGCCCCCCGCCCAAAGAAAATGCTCGGAAGACGGCAGATTGCAAAAAAAAAAACGAAGGATTGCACGAAGGATTGCAAAAAAACCCTTTGAACGAAGGATTGCAAAAAAACCTTCGAGGAGCAAAGTACGGCACAGGCATGCTTCCTCGGGGGTCCGCGCGGCACTCCCCTGGATCGGCGCAGGACCCCAGCAACAGCGACAGTCACGGACGATCGAGGCACTCGTTTTCGGAAGTCGGGCCCCGCAGACTCGACACCCCTGTGTGTGGACTTGCTGCAGCCCTCGCCGCTGAGCCAAAAATACGACGCAACAGTGCACAAGTGAATGGCCTACTTGTCTGCTACTCCACCACCTACCCCGTCATTCCAGCCCTGCCCAACAACGTGCTCATTGCAGGAACCAGGGGGGCAAAACACGGCAGAACCACAGTTCCTCGGAGGTCCGCGCAGATTTTTGGGATCGGCGCTGGACCCCCTCCCTCGCGCGCGGAGATGGCCAGGAGGAGGGCCCGAGAAATCCGCGCGGCGCTCCGAGGCATGATGTCTGAGCTGTAGAGTGTCCTTCGAGGCAGGCACGACCAGAGTCCACGTACCCCACCCGCGTGCCAGACTCTCTCTCTCTCTCTCTCTCTCCTTGGACGCCCGACATGGGTAGGGAAAACATGGGCAAGATGCCCAGCAGCCAGTGCTGCCAAAGACCAGCAGCCTCCGCTGCTGGGCAGGCGGCAGTCTGTTGTCACATGGCCAGCGCCCGCGGTGGTACGGACAGCGAGCCATGTTCAAGATGAGCTGGAAGTGCTGTCGGTCCTCGTGCCCATTGTTTTTCCATGCCCGTGTCGATCGTACCGATCGTGCCCGACCCGCGCGCCAGACTTGGGCCTCGCTCCATGGGGGGGGGCGATAAATGGCGGGGGGGGGGGGAGAAAGGTACACGTCTCGCCCGAAAGGCCCCCTTTTGGGGCCCCAGAGGACCCCTTCAGGGGCCCTGAAGGGCCCCTTTCCTGCAGCCCCCGCTGCCCCCCCCCTGCATCGCCCCCCCACTGCGCGACCGCGACGCCCAACGGACTCTCTCTCTCCCCTCGGGCCAGGCTCGGCCGCGAGAGCCCTCCGGGGGGGGCCCTTCGGCGCGGCAGGGGCCGCCCGCGCCGGAACGCCCTCTGGAGCCGCGCGGCGCGCCGAGGTGCCGGGGAGCTCGGGAGGCGCCGACCGATCACAGGCGGTGCTTCTCTAAAGAAACCCAGGCGGCCACAAATAAGTGGCCCCCACACGCACACACACACAACCCAAAAATGCAAGGGGTCGGCGGCTGTGGCGTAAGCCTACAGAACAAGTCGACACGAATTCCAGGAATCCTTAGATTATCCCAATGCGACCCTACCCAGGACTTGGAGCCCCTAGGAAAGCAGCATAAGCTAAGCTAAGTTAAGCTAAGCTAAGCTAAGCTAAGCTAAGCTAAGCGGAGCTAAGCTAAGCTAAGCTAAGCTAAGCTAAGCTAAGCCATTAAGAGAGCGAAGCTAAGCTAGGTTAAGCTAAGTTAAGTTAAGATGAAATAAGCTCTAAGCTAAGCTGAGCTAAGCTAAGCTAGGCTAGGCTAGGCTAGGCTGAGCTAAGCTAAGCTAAGCTAAGATGAGATAAGCTCAGCTAAGCTATGCTAAGGTTAGGCTAGGCTAGGCTAAGCTAAGCAAAACTAAGCTAGGCGTAGCTAAGCTAAGCTAAGCTAAGCTAAGCTAAGCTAAGCTAAGCTAAGCTAAGCTAAGATGATATAGGCAAAGCTGAGCTAAAATAAGCTGAGCTGAGCTAAGCTAAGTTAAGCTAAGGTAAGCTGAGGCAAGGTCAGCTAAGCTAAGCTAAGCTAAGCTAAGCTAAGCTAGGCTAGCCTAAGCTAGGCTAAGATGCGATCAGCTAAGTTAAGCTAAGCTGAGCTAAGCTAAGCTAAGCTAACCCTCTAGGCAGAGCCTAGGTAGGGAACCCCGGTTGCCGGGGGAACCGCGGGACGGATCCTGGGTGAACCGCCCGGGGCGTTTTGCACTGCCCGGCCCTTTAAGCAAATTATCGCAGGGGGACCCTACCTAGGATCTGGAGCCCCTAGGAAAGCAGCATAAGCGGAGCTAAGCTAAGCGGAGCTAAGCTAAGCTAAGATAAGCTAAGATAGCTAAGCTAAGCTAAGCTAAGCTCAGATGAGATAAGCTAAGTTAAGCTAAGCTAAGCTAAGCCAAGCCAAGCTAAGCTAAGCTGGGCTAGGCTACGTGAAGCGAAGTTAAGCTAAGCTAAGCTAAGTCAGCTAAGCTAAGTTAAGCTAAGCTAAGATGAGATCAGCTAAGCTAAGCTAAGCTAAGCTAAGGTAAGGTAAGCTAAGATGAGATGAGCTAAGCTAAGCTAAGCTAAGCTAAGCTAAGCCAAGCTAAGCTAGGCTAGGTTAAGCTAAGCTAAGCTAAGCAAAACTAAGCTAGGCTAAGCTAAGCTAGGCTAAGCTAAGCTAAGCTAAGCTAAGCGAAGATGCGATACGCAAAGCTAAGCTAAGATAAGCTGAGCTAAGCTAAGCTAAGCTAAGATAAGCTAAGGTAAGCTAAAGTAAGGTAAGCTAAGCTAAGCTAAGCTAAGCTAACCCTCTAGGCAGAGCCTAGGTAGGGAACCCCGGTTCTCGGGGGAACTGCGGGGCGGATCCTGGGGGAACCGCCCGGGGCGTTTTGCACTGCCCGGCTCTTTAAGCAAACACCATAAGAACCCTTCTGGGCAGAGCCTAGGTAGGGAACAAACACAGTAAGAACCCTTCTAGGCAGAGCCTAGGTAGGGTTTTTTTCATTTGCTTCTAGATCTTCGTCTTCCCCATCCACTTCACATAGTTTCCCACCTGTTCCTGGGACGTGTTTATTTGCGCACCGTTCATGCCTCTTCTTGGCCCCAGGGCCCCCTTCAGGGCCCGTAAGGTGCGCAAAAAATGCGCCTTGCTTCACCCCCAAATGGCAGTCATCGTGCAACCACAAGGAACGCCCGATGGGGAAGGAAGGGGCTTCTCTGGCCACGGCGACCCTCGGCCACAGAGGGGTTCCCCGACCCAGCCCCGCGGCACGGCCGAAAACCCAAGCCCCTCCAGAGCCCGAAGCGTTCCCTAGTTCAGCGGCCTGACTCCTCCTCCTCCTCCTCCTCCTCTTCCTCCTCCTCCTCCTCCTCCTCCTCCTCCTCCTCCTCCTGCCGCCTCCTCCTCCTCCTCCTCCTCCTCCTCCTCCTCCTCCTCCTCCTCCTCCTCCTCCTCCTCCTGCACAGCCCCCGCCGTGACGCAGCGCCCGACGACTAGTTAGCCGATCCTGGGCCCAGGCCACCCTGGGCCCGGGTTCGCTGCCTGTGCCTACCTGGCCGAAGCCAGGAGGGCGCACAAGCATCGAGGAGGGAGCACGATAGGGGAAGGGCCAGGCCCAGGGGGGGAAGCATCGACCACATGAAACCTTCCACGAGAAACCCAACCCTGAGAGACCCCAGGACGTCCGTTGCTTCTTGGTGCGGGAGCGGCACGCTTCCCATCGCAAAACCATCGAAACCCAAGAAACCCAGGGCACCCGGGAGGCAAGCAGGGTGTTTCTTGGCATGGGTCTCCGCTGTAGGGGATGGGTCTGGCTCACGGGGGGGGAACATCGCCCTGGAATCAGCGAGGCATCGCAAACAGATCGGCCAATAGGCTTCCGAGAGCGAATCCCGGGGTTCCCGTGCGGGGCGGGCCATCGGGCCCCTATCGACGATCAATGGAAGTGCCTGCCTCCCTCCATCCCTCCTCCCTGCCCGCCTCGTCCTCCCTCTTCCCCCCTCCATGTTCCTCCATCTCACCCTCCCTCCTCCTCCCTCCCTCCTCCTCCATCCACCTCCCTCCCTCCCTCCCTCCCTCCCTCTCTGGCGTCCCGGGTCGACAAGCCTCGGCCTCACCCAAAGAGGACACCCTTCCTGCGAGTCAGACCTCACCGTGGGTGGGACCCGGACCCGGCCGACTGGGGTGCGGCCCCCATCGCGACATCCCGTGCGGAAAGCCGTGCAGAGCACTGGGCAGGAAGACCATAATAAGACAGCTACCGCGATCAGACTGCAGATCTCACCGATGGGCAGCTGGCGACAACTGAGGCAGAAACGAATTAGCTCCTTCAGCGCACAACCCTTCGTTTCTTTCGGGGGGGGGCTTGGGGTTCCATCAGGCCGGTTCGCCTTTCCACTCTTGAACGGAACCTCCCAACGGATGGTCAAACGAGCCCCGAGGAGGTTGAGGAGTGGGAAGGGGAGGGGAAGAAGCGAGGGGGAGAGCCAAGCTAGGTGCGATCACGCCTCATCTGATATCCTATCCCTCCCTCCCGTCCCTTTTCATGGCGCTGAGATTTCTCTATCCGCGGAGGCGTGTCATAGCCGACCTGCGACTCACTATGCGCAATCGGAAAAGGGGAGCTGCGTGCACAGGAGGAGGAGGCGAACAGCAGCATACGAAGCGGAAGGATCGGGAGTAAGGAGGACCAGGGGAAGGCGGAGAAGTGGAAATGAGAGGGGCGACAACGACGAAGAAAGACTCGGATTCAGAAAAGTGGTCCGCGTTGGGGCGAGACGAACAGCAGCAGCAGCAGGAAGTGGAATGGAAGGAGCGGGAAGAACAGAAGGACCCGGGGAAGGCGGAAAAGGGGAAATGATGGGTGGACCCTAATGAAGCAAGACTCGGATCCGGAAAAGTGGTCCGCGCTGGAGCGGGAGCGCGGTTCTGAACGACGGGAACAACGCTCCGATCCAACTGTTGAGGCCCACGCTGCAGTGGGAGCACCACTTTGAAACACCGAAAGCACTTTGATTGCAAAACCCATGAGAAAAGCCAGGCTTGGAATCCTGTGCGTGAAATAAGGCACGCGGAGGGGGCGGGAGATCGTCTAGAAAACTTCAGGGGAGGAGGGAAAATCGAGTTCATATAGGAGAGGGAGGGGGCTCCCCCATTTGGATGATCAAACAATCGACCCTTAAACAGGACTCGCCCATCGCCGTTGGGGCACGACAGAAGTTCGAGCGGTAGCTGGTGAATCCTGTGAGGGCCCCCGCTCGAGCGGGGACCCCCATCCGACAACTTACCCTAGAGGGGCCCAAGGACACACACAAATGAATACACACGAATCCCAGGATTCTTTCTATTTTCCCACATGTTCTGGGTCTTCGTCTGCCCCCCCACGTCCCATATCTTCCCATACTTTCCTGGGAATCGATGATCCATTTTGTCTCTGTGCTTTTTCTCCTCCAGATACACCCGCATCCCTGGCGGCATTGGAACTCCGAGACTCGCGGGGGCCTGCAGGCTCGAGGGGCTCGCTGCCGGCTCGCAACATCACGCCGAGAGGGGCAACGAGTGCTGCCTTAGCTTTGCATCCCCCGAGGCACGGCTGTGCGATCAACGAGGCCCTTCCCCGTCCACTCTGAAGGGGCCCCAGGACACACAAATAAATACACAAATAAACATATTCCCCATATTTTCCTATATTTTCTGGGTTTTCGTCTTACCCCCCACTTCCCATATTTTCCCATATTTTCCTGGGAGTCGACGATTAATTGTGTCTGTGTGTTTTTTCCCCTCCTGACACTCGGCCATACAGGACGGCCAGAAACGGATGCGCAGGGAGCCCCGCAAGCTCTGCGCAGGTGCTGCTGAAGATTACTTTCAAAGTATCTCTGGCAACGGTCGTTACCCAAGGGGGGGGGGGGGGGGCAACGGTAACGCTTGGGCGGGGCGGGGCACGCCGGGGCAGTAGTATGCCCGCGAGCACCCGCATGCGGGGGGGGGGATGCAGGCCGCTCCCAATACGTATGCTCTTCACTGCTACCCAGGATGGCAGGGAGGGGTCTGGCCCAGGTAACGACCGCTGCGCGCCAGAGGATAAGAAAAGACAATCTCCTTTGGGGTCGCCCAAGAGGGGGGCGCCCAAAAGGTGGGTCGCAAATCGTGGCGCGAGGCGCGTGCGCGGCCCGGCCCAGGGGGCCAAGGGAAGCAGTTCAGAAGGAGGGCATGAAACCCGGGGAGCTATCGGAGCCCCGGCCATGACGTCCACCCATCCCCCTTCTCATCGCACCGCTCCAGGGCGACGAAATCTATACATATCCACTGCTCCCTGGCCAGGCCCATCCTCAACCCCGCAGCGGTGTATACGCCACGCCCTCCTGGCTTGGCCAGGAGGGCGCATACACAGCTCCTGGGTTCAAGATGGGCATGGTCAGGGAGCAGTGGATATGTATAGATTTCGTCGCCCGACGCTCTTGGACGCCCCCGACTCCTGGCAGCTGCCAGGGCCGCGACTCCGCGCGCGATGCCCGCCGACTGCTGGGCAGCGGGCGGCGGGTGCTCTGGCGCCAGAGGCCCCGGCGCGCGGGGGCCGGCACAGCGCAGCCTCGCGGGCCCGAGGTGGAGAGCCTCGGCCGCCGTGCCCGCAGCTGCTGCGCGCGCGATCGAGCCCCGTGCCGAGACGGAGCCGGGACAGGGACAGAACGAGCCACCACCTCCTCCCCCCTCCCCCCCTCCCCCTCCCCCCCTCCCCCCTCCCCCTCCCCCCTCCCCCTCCCCCTCCTCCTCCTCCTCCTCCATCTCCTCCTCCATCCTCCTCCTCCTCCTCCTCCTCCTCCTCCTCCTCCTCCTCCTCCTCCTCCTCCTCCTCCTCCTCCTCCTCCTCCTCCTCCTCCTCCCCCTCCTCCCAGGACGAGCCACTAATGCGGAGCATCCTCCGGGCCTATCTAAGGCTAGGCGGGCGAGGCCGTGGCCTCTGTGTGTACTGTCGCGTGTGGAGGCCGTGCACGTGTGCTGCGGGGTACTGGAAAATGCGTGCAATGTGCAGGAGGAAGGAGGGAAAATCCTTGTGGTCGTAGCCCTCCTGCGTTGGCGGTGCTGCACAGCTCTGTATGGGCGATCGGTAAGGAATGAGCTCTGCTTCAACAGGATCGGACGAGGATGAGGCGGGGATCTCCGAGGTGAGGCGGCGCCGGAGGATGTGTCGGGCGCCGCGGCCTCCTCGGAGCGTTCGGGAACGCTCCGAGCGGTCCAGAGCGTTCTGGAAAGGCAGAATCCCCGTCCTAGCCCCGCCCGACGTGCGGCACACGATGACCCTGAGATTCGGGCGCTGCAGGCTCTTCACACCGGGAGTTTTCGCCCGCGTTCGGGCCGCGAGACCATCACAGATCGATCCGGCTCCAAAAATGCCACAGAAAGATGGGGTCTAGGGCTCCAGTCGTGATTGCTCGCGATGCCGATTTGTTTTACAACGTCGGATCTCAGAGGATGTCCACCACTACATGCCAGCTGGCTTCACATGTCTGATGCATCCAGCCTGGGATTTCGTGAACACACACTGCAGCAGCGACTCACTCGGGAATCTGTCCAGCTTGGGCCTCCCCTCGTTCATGAAACGGCCATCCACGAACTCCTTCGTCAGAACGTGTTCCTTCTCTATGTCGTGCTTGACTGCATGCAGGGCGTGACCATCAGCCGTGCCAGAGCCACCAAAACCATACAGTGTCAGTCTCTCACAAATGGGAATCCACCAACTCCTTCAGAGGAAAACGAGCTGAGTCCCAAGGTCTAGTGGTAGACCCCTCTTTTTCCACTCTCTGTGCACATACTCTTACGTATAATAAGGATGTGAATGTTCCTCCTACGTTTAACAAAAAACCCTGGCCCACCTCAGATATCCAGCGACACCGACTGAGACAGGCGATACTTCACCTGCCCGTGGAGACAAAGATGCGCGCAAGCCTGAGTTCCCATACGCCCTCCCACGGTGCGAAAGCCTGTGCATTCAGGCTGAAGCAAGCCTGGCGACATCGAGCTGTAGTGGAGAATTGACTGAATCAGGAGCTCAAAGTAGGCACCAGGTGGAGGGGTAGTTTGGGAAAAGCGTGCTGCCCGAGGGCCCAGGGGCCAGGACGCCGGATATGTGACATGCATATGTATGCTTATGTCTACATATATCTATATATATATAGACATATATATATATATAGAAGTTCAGTATTGATGTGTGTGTGTGTGGTCGAGGTTGTGCTAGACGTTTCAAGTCGGATGGAGCCGCGATGCATGCGGTAGCAGGGCGGGTCGCGCTGCCAACTGGTGCGCGCAACGCAAATCACCCTCTGTACTAACGGGCCATCTGGGGGAACAAGGGCGACCCCTGGCCCCGAGCGTCACAACCGTGCACGGCCAATCAGAGCCTTGGGCGAGGTGGTGGCTGTGACTAGCTCTCCGGGCGGCCGTTTGCAATTGGTTACCTTGCGCGTCAAGCTCCTCAACGGTCTTGGCCGCGAGAGGCGGGCACGTCGCAGGATCAGCAAGGATGGCGCGCCAGCATTTGTGCCGCCTGGAATCGCACAGGTGGGCCAGCAGGCTAAGCTGTGCTCTGAAAATGGTACCGCACACAAAGCGCAGCGCACTGGCTGGGGCAAACATGCGCTGTCGGCATCTGGCCACGCGCTTGATCCGGCTGCGCTGGCTCAGCTCGCGCCCGCTGCAAAACAAGGCAGAACACAGGGCACACATGAAATGGCGAGCTAGCGCCGCCAATGGGGCAACCACCTGTGGTCGCACACTGCATCCCCGAAAAACACCATAGACACAACGCGGCCCCATCAGGCAGCATCCGCCAGGATGAACTGGCGAGACTCCCGCGAGCAAGCCCCAGGGCACGAAAGAGAAGGTCATTCCCGCACAAGGGAGCGGAGGCGCTGCATATCAGCAACGAGTGGGACAATCCACAGCAGCGTGTGGCAGCCAGGACGCGAGGCCAGCAAAGCAAGCAGACTGGCCGGTTGCGCTACGGGGAGGCGCCAGAGGTAGCGCAGCTGCGCGCGCATCACCAGGCAATCAGTCGACGGGGCGCGTGCCCCCAGCCGCGCCCGCAGGTCCGCGGGGCCGTCGCCAAACCGCGCGCGGCCGTGCAGCCGCCACGCGGCCCTCGCGCACACGTCGTTGAGCACGCGGTAAAAGGCCTCGCTGGGGACAACCGTGTGGACGTTGAGCAGGAGTCTGCTGAGAACCAAGGCCTTGGGCAGGAACTCGCGGAGGTGCAAGCTCATCTGCGGCGAGCCGAAAAATTTGGCGGCAAACGGAGCGCAGGCCGTCATGGCAGTCAGGCGGCGGTCCGAAACGAACGGGGCCGGAGACCCCGCATCGGCAGTCGGGCCACCGAGATGCCCGCACGAGTCGACCACGACCAGCTTCACGTCAGAGCTGGGCACGGCTATCACGGGGGTCTCGCCTGACGCAGGCCGACGGGCCCTCAGGCGCCCGGCAGCGCCGTGGCCGCGGTAGATCAGGAAAGCCTCGCTCTTGGCTGTCTCCCAAGTGATGGCGAGGTCGAACAAGCCAAACGCGCCACAGACCTGAGGTAGGAGGATCTCGATTGCCATGTCCAGCTTCTTCGGCGCGGAGGCCGCCAGGCAGAAGCAAGTGCCGTCCCCGGAAGCAACGTCGCCCACGGGCGCTGTGGACTCGCCCCCCTTGCTGCGTCGCTGGCGCGCGCACCCCACGGCGCACCGCAGCACGGCGGAAGCGACAGGCAAACGCCGAAACTGATCCCCAAGGCGACCGAGCAGGTGGCGTTGAACAGGAGCGAACCGCACTTGCACCCCTGGCGGCCGCCCACGCGCGCAGCGACCGCTTCGCCGACCGCCTCGTAGCTAAGCCAGGACGCCGCGCGCATGTCCTCGAGCAGCCGCGCGACGTTTTGGGTCGACGCCCCAACGCTGGAAGAGGCGGCCATCCTGGGCGACACATTTGGCCAACCACTGCGCCTGCCTCGATGAAAGGCCGAGGGGGCGCAAGTATGCTTCAGGGTCAACGGCGTCTGCAGGCCACCCGAGCGTGAGATCGCGCAGGACGCGGTCAAAGGCCGTGACCAGGTCCAGGGAGAGCACGAAGCAGGAAAGCTTCGCCCGCTCGCAATGCGCCGGGAAGCCAAAAACAAAGTGGCTGGCATAGTCCGTGCCACGTCCTGGGACTGAGCCGCGATGCGCCGCCGGCATGCCTTGCACATACGCTGGCATGACGAATGGCGCCAAGAGCTGCCTCAAGCCCTTGTCGAAGTGGTCTTCCAGCATGATGCCGCGGGACTTATCGCAGTCCTCCTTCGGGCCCTTGCGCTTGTGCACGTCCTGCGCGCGCCCCCCCCGTCCACGCGACGGGCACGCATTCCTCGTCCACGACCGGCTGTTGCACCTCGGCGCCAGGCGCGGCGAGGAGAGGCCCGGCGGCCAATAGCGTCTCCACAGCAATCTCGTCAAGCCCCGCACCCTTCTTACGACCGAAGGGCTGCCAAGCCTGCATCACCGCACCCGGGTGCACACGATGGAACGGGGGAGTGGGCTCTCGGTGGGCAAAGCCTTCAGCTCCGCTGACGAAGTCACCATGCCACTGAAGACATCGAGGAAATGCTCGCGCCAGCGAAGCCGGCGAGGCGTGGTCGAACCACCCCTGCCGCTGAGCGATCGGACGACAGCGTACATGCGTACATCTGCCTCCAGTCGCCGCGCGTCGCCGCCTGCTGCGCCTCGCAGGCCCTCATCTCAAGGTACAGAACGTGGTCGTCGTGCACCATCAGGTGGATCAAGCAGCCCAGCAGCATCGTGGACCCATACGATAGGGCGTGCAACTTGCGCAGCCCCCTGCGGGCGCGGAGCAGGGCGCCAAGGGCGGCACAGGCGCGCCAGCCGAGCTGCGAGCAAGCGTCGCCCTCTGAACGACGGGCCGTCGGGACGAAGTCAGCGCGGCAGCAGGACGCCCACGCCGCGAATACAACGCGACGCCAAATCTGGTGGGCACGTTGCTGGGCACTGTGGCTCAAGCGGCGCATACATGATCCATGGCTTCCTGGGGCAGCCGCCTGGCGCGGCGAAGGCTGCGTGCGAGGCGACGTGGATCGCGTCGACGCGGTGCTGCACTTTGTCGTCAGTGGGCACGTTCTGAGGCAGTTGCATCACGTAGTGCCAAATAACTCAAAGACGAGGTCAACCGCCTCGAAACAGCCCCAGACACCTCCAAGACGGCCCCAGAGCCCCACCCCCACGAGGGCCCCAAGAGGCAAAAACTGCGTTTTCGCTTTTTCGGCTTCCCGACGCTCCCAGACGGCCCTAGAAGCCCCATAGACGCCCCAAGACGGCCCAAAAAGCCTCCGAGAGGGCCCCAAAACAGTCCAAGAGGGCCCCAAGACAGCCCAACAGGCGCCAACAACGAACCGAAAATCCTAGTCTTCCGCCCCAAGAAACCCCCAGGAGGCCCAAAGAGGTGCCCAGGAGGCCCAAGAAGCCCCCAAGAAGCCCCAGAAGGCCTCCAAGAGTCCCAAAACAGGCCCCGAGAGGCCCCCAAACGGTACCCAAGCGGCGTCCAAACAACCTCCAAGAGGCCCCCGGAAAAGCCTCCCACGAGACCCCAACGAACGTCCAATAGGATTCATGCCCACAAACCAGGCGTAGTGGCAGAATGCCCAAGGCCACTATACATCTGTATATATATATTATATATATATATATATATATATATGTATATATACATATATATATATATATATATATATATATATATATATGTGTATGCATATGTATGTGTGTGCACATGTGTATATAGATGTATATGTATGTTTATGTATGTACATACATACAGATGTACGTCTATATATTTGTGTGTATATATACATACATACATATATATACGTCTATATGCGATACAAGATATATTCGAAAATACCGAGTGTGCACTGTGAAGTATATGTTACATAAACCAATATTGTATACATACACACGGTATTAACATGAACATAGTCACGTTGATATGTCGTAAAATAAATGTCTTAAGTCCGAACATGTCATGATACATGTATGTCCGATGCTAGATATACATATACGAATATACAATCACATGTATATATGCACTTAGATGTTATCATACATGTGCACGAGCATGGATACATGCATATACATACATATATGCATACATGCATACATTCGCACATGTAGATATACACCCATACATACCCAACTATGTACATAAATGATTACGTACATGCATACATGTTTACGCACATATAAACATACATGCATGAATGCAAACAGTCATATGTGCATACATGCATGTCTGCATGCATACCTACATACACGTACACATGTACATACTTGTTTGATTCGCGGGTCGAGAGCGCACCTCTTACGGTCGAAGCTAACCGGGCCGCACGAAGCTTGAACTAACCAGGGATGGAGGAGGAAAAGGGGGGGCGCAGCCTCAGAACGAAGCCAGGAGGAGGTAAAGCCTCGGGATCAGGAGGTGCCGTAGTCGACGCACTTGCAAAGGCGCGCCTGTTCCAGGAACCCGGCGGCGAAGTACCGGCAAACGCAAAATGCCGTGGCTGGTGCTGCCGTCAACGGCTCACCATTTACACCAGTCTCGAGTTGGCGGCGAGAGGTGACGCGCCTTGCATCCAAGCTGCGTCAGGGATCAGGGAGAGCGGAGAGCGACGCTGACACGAAGCGCAACGTTGTGCCATCGAACAGGTAGCAGGAGC